CAGAACAGAAGGCAGAAGCGCTAGCGGGTAAAAAGAAGGGAGCTAAATACACCATGAAAAACTGTAAGGTGATAACAGTAGTTCCTGAAGAAGAACAAGACGAATAATAATAATTTTGTAAAAAAAATTATTATTTTTCTTACTTGCTTATATGAGCGAGAAACAGAAAATAGTTAATGATGTTTATTTTGATAGAAGCGGATTCGGTTCTAAGGCTACCACGTTGAAAGATGCAAGAATCAAAGATAAAACAATTACAATGGCTGACGTTGAGGAGTTTTTCAAGAAAAATGTAGAAGAAAAGAGAAAACCAAGAGGTGAAAGGAGTTTTGTAGCTCCACATGCGTATTTTGAATTTCAAGTTGATTTGTTTTTCATATCAAGCAACGATTTAGAAAATCAAAAGTTTACAATAGGTTTAGTGCTTATTGACATATTCACTAAATACGCAACTGTTATACCGATAAAAAGCAAGCAATCCCCAGACGTTCTAGCGGGTCTCATGGAAGGATTCAACAAAATGGAAAAGAAACCGCGCATGTTATATTCGGACGAAGAGGGTAGCTTGTACAGTAACACTATATCGGAGTATTTGGAAGACGAGAAAATTGAGATACATAGAACTCGTGGACATCCAGCGTTTGCGGAACGCTTCATTAAAACCTACAAAGATGAACCATTCAAGCGCATTGAAGCGGACGAAAAGAAGGGAAAGAAAATATTCAGTGGATTGATTATAACCTTGAAATATTATTGACATATAACAATAAAGATATACATTCGTCACATAATCTGACTCCGCAAGAAGCACGGTTGCCCAAAAATGAACTGAAAGTGAAACTGAGTTTAAACATGAACGCAAAGCGCAACAGAATATATCCTGAGATAAACGAAGGAGACAACGTCAAAATAATGAGAAAAAAAGGCATAAGTGAAAAAGAGCATACGCCACACTGGAAAAAAGCAATCCATAAAGTCACGAAGATTGAAAAGAAATTAGGACAAAACTATTATCATCTAGACGATGATAAACAGCCATACTTGCGACATGAATTGTTAAAGGTTTCTTAAGAAAACACACTTAAAGAAATAACAACTTAATATACTATAATAGAAATGTTCAGTGCACAAGAACAGGAAGAAATCATTAATCAATTCTTAGATGTTATTGAGATGAAGAAGATAATCAACAACAAAGTAAACATGTGCACCAAATGCAAATTCACACCGCAACATATGAACCTATATCACTTACCGCTGTCTGAAAATATTGTGAAAAATATATGTAAATTTAATTACAAAAAAGCGAGACATGCACCACGCTAAGAGAGTTGAAAAGTAATGTTTATGGTTGTGGCATGAAAAAATTTGACAACGCAGTTGAAGCAGTTGAAGACAAACCTTGTATGGAGGAATACAGAGGGGGTGAGAAGGAGAAAAGAAACACACAAATGTATTTTTATGTGAACCTAAACCCATTCCCAACATACAAAATACTGCAGCCAAAGGTGTTACAAAAAGAGACAAAATTCTACAACGAAAAAATCCACAAGGAAATCAAGAAATGTTACTACAACTTATGGCGCGAAAAGGATGATATAAAATCGTTTTACACCAAGCTTCGTAATCAGATAATTGCAGAATACGACAAAACATGTCACAAAGACGTTGATACAAAACAAAGGTTTGAAAAATATATGGCTTCACACATTAATCCAGTAAGCGATATAATAATAAGCATCTGTGATTATATCGCTGGCAATGAAGAGCAGAATCAAGTTGAACACAAACTGGATTCAAAACAAACCTCATCTTGGGTTAAGGCGTGTCTTTCAGGGATTGAATAATCATGACTGTTCGTGGGAAAGGTATATGGATACAAGATACCCGTGGTTACCAAAAAATGAATATCTACGAAAAAATGGTATAACACCAACTAAGAAAATTGACGCCAACTATCTAGACCTTGACGATTTTAATTAGACAAACAAAATTGAAACATTAATACTATTTGTAATTTGTATTCCCTAAACCCTAAACTTTCAGTACCTTAGATTTTTTATGTTGGTTTTGATTGTAAACAGCTTTTTTGATTCACTAGACTAAAAATACTAGGCAATTACTATTAAAATATGCATGTTATTTGTGTTTTGTATCCTTTTGTATCCTTTCATACCCCTAAATCTTCAGTACCTTACTTTTATGATTTCGTTTTTTTGATTGTTTTCTTGTTTTATTTTTTTGAAGCAAAACTTTTGAGCCAAACGCCTTAGGGTTTTAAAGGGATTTAGGGGACAAAACCCTAACAACCCAAACTAAACCGCAAGACGCCAACACCTTCTGAGGCACATCGCCAAGCCCTTGGTAAACTGTCGGATTGCCTGCGCCGCTCCAGTTGCCAAGCGTTTTCCCGAAGTGGGAAAGCCGAAAAACCTAAACCTGAACCCCTAAGCCCTGACCTTGGCTTTGCACAGGGACGCGCCGGAACTCGCCTTCCTCCATCACCTGCCAAGTTAAGGGCTTAAGGGTTCATTCAGGCTGAATGCTGAAAGGCTGGGCTTCAGAATGGTGATGCAACAAGCGCCTGTTCTTGCCCGAGAATCTTGCGATTTGGTTCTGTGCGCACCGTGCTTCTGCGCTTGTGGCATCGGGTGCTCTGTCGGTGGTTCTGTCTGCGATGCACCGTGCCATACCGTGCCTCTGTGCATTCCGGCATCTGGTGCTCTCTGACGCTTTCGAAGCAGAGAGAAGTCCCAAGGTTAGGGGATTGGAGTTCTATCGTCTGGGGATTCGGGGATTGGAGTCCCAAAATTGGGGGATTCGATTCGAGTCCCAAGGTTAGGGGATTGGCATCTCTCCTCACAGAACTGGAACGGAAAGCTACTTCACCCAAAGATGGTCTGGGACTGGGAGGGCGCTTCCATCCCACGGCATCATGTCGTCCATCAGCATGGAGCTCACCTCGCGCTCAATGGCGCTCACTGTCGCGCCCTGTGCTTCGAAGCGCTTTGCTGTTGCCTCGATCGCCTCCTCTCGGAATTCTTGGATGAAGGACTGAGACTTTCCCTTGTCGGCCAGAACTTTGAGGTTTCCGGCCAAGCCGTCACACTCATCGATGACCTTCGCCAGCTCGTGCCCGACCAGGTTGTAGATGACGCCCTCCTCGCGCGTGTAAATCTCCTGCCAACACAGGGCACAGGCAATACTTCACAAACTTGCTCGAACAGCAAATGGGATGGGGTTACGAGGATCGAGTGCTTTGTCGAACAGTCCTCAGCGCGCTCAGTGTCCCATTCTCCGGATGCGATGGAGATGCCATCGCCCAGAGGTGTCGGGAATTGGACAGCATCCGTTGTCCTGCGTCCCCTCCAATCACCTTTCATGCCCTTGCGCTTGTTGTAATCTGGCAAGAAGAGGCTGCGCACGCGCTCGTTGAAGATTGGCATGTTGTAGGCTGAGCCGCCCGTGCTGACAATGATAGGGACAATGTGGCGCGTACCGCTGCTGCTTCGCAAGGTGCGTAGTTGCCAACACTTCCCCCCAAAAGTGTGAATCCTACTGACATAGAATTGGCTGACTTCTGCCAAGTAGCGATTGTTTGCTGGAGGATGTAGCAAAGAGTTCAGGAATAAAACGTCGAGGCGTGTTTCTGTCATGGGCATTCCTTGGTCATCAGCACGGCGCTCTGCAGGACGTCGTTGTGCCTCAAAGCGGTTGCCCCAACTGGCGAAGAGAGTGACGTGAACTTGCCACATGACAAGCGCCAAGCCCACCATTCGCCCGTTCCGGTGGAACTGGCTCATGGCTATCACTCATGGCTACGAAACTTGACACAAGAAGCTTCAGGTTTCCAGATTGCTGGGCAAGATGTGCAGAAATGCAAGAAACATTCGCAGAATGCATGATAAGTGCAAGGCCCGACTCCAAAACAGGCAAAGCGCACCTTCTGAAAGTTGTAGACTCCGAAACCGCCTTCCTTGATGATGTCTCGCCGCTGCGGCGCATTGACTGCCCAACCCTACTACCCGTACTACTCTACATAAATTGAACAAGGATAGCCTTGCCCTTTTCGGGAGTTGCATCACCTGATAAATAGGATAAGGTAAAATAATAAGCCAGCAGTTGCTATTTATACGATATATTAGGATAAATTCTATATGGTATAATGTTTTAGGATAGAATGACTACTACTTGTATTTGGTTGACGGTGATGTAACTACCCAAACTGGGCAAGGCCTCCCCTGACTGACTGCTCTAAGGCGAGGAAAATTGACTGGGAAAAGCTGATTCAAACGTTGGGAGGGCTCTGGCACGAGGCGACAGCCCAAAATACTGACGGACTGTGACGGACTCGAAGTTGAGAGGTCTGCGTACCCTGCCGCAGCCTTCTGCTTGCTTGCGCACAACGTCCAGCACCGAGTCAATGAGTTCGGCACCCTCGGCCCAAAGGCTTTTGGAAGTCATCGGGCGCTGGTGCTGCGTTTGATGTGCACAAGGTTGCCGAAAGGGCTGAAGACTCAGCTCACGGCCTCAGTGTAGTGACCTCAATCAGAAAACTTTTCGCACGCAGTGACAAAGCTATCAGCACCAGCCACGGCCGGCCACGACCATGACCGGGCGCCCGACCCTTGGCCCAATTGTTGCCAGCTCCTCACGAGACACATGCAGCCAGATGATTCTGCTTGGGCGTGTTGGAGCGTGTTTGTTCTGTCCTGTCTGTCCAAAGACGAAGTTGTCGGGACGGAAGAGCTGACCAAAAGGCCCTGCTCGGACGGAGTCCATGGTTCCTGTCCAGCGTGAGGCAGCGCAGCGCCGATTGGCCCAAGCACAGCACGGACCCATGACATGCCTGGCTCAAGATCCATCAGGACCGCACGGGGAACGTAGCGGCCCCCGGTCGCCTCGTTGAAGTACACCTGAGCTGTCCGGGCTCTTTCTGGTCCGAGCTCTCTGGTCCAGGAGGACGCACTATACACATGATTCGAAACATCATCCAATATCACCCTCGCAGTGATGCGGCACAGATACATTGATGCGCTCCAGCTGCAGATCGGAATCGCCATGATAGGTTCCTGCACATGAAATTTTGGATCGCTTGCAGCCTTCAAGTTCAAGGGTCCTCCCTGCGGCACGACTTGGAAAAGAACCCGAAAGAGCCACTCGGCGTGCCCACCAAAGACATGTACTTCTACTTTGTCTCTGAGAATGGAGCATGTCTTTGGAAGGTCAGCAGCTTGGGGCGTTTGCGGAGGGATTGTGCCGAAACACTTTCTGAAAACATTCTGCGGGCGGGATCAGCACAAGCTTGATGTGGGCAGGGTCGGGTGTTCGCTTTCTGCTCCGCACCTGTGGGATCGATTCCGTGCTCGTCGGCGATCACCTGTGCCAAGAGGTGATTTGGCGGGAATCATGTGCAGAGGGTAGTTTCAGGGAATTGGGTACAAACATGTACAAACACGATCCACTTCAGTCTCGCCAGGATGATTTCCAGAAACCCCCGGAAGGCGTGAAGGCGCGCCTCCCAGAACTTGGCACCGATCTGGTTGCCGCCTGTGGAAAAATGCTCTTGACCCTGTTTGCAGTGGACAGCGAATCATGCCGGCAGTGGCGAGTTACCGCCACTTCTCCAGGCCACATGCTTCCGCTTGCTCTCAGATCTCTCAGGAAAGTGAGGATCTAGGGTTCTAGGCCGTTTATTGGTGGAATCAACAACTGGAGTCCGAACGGAACAATTTGCGGAACGAGACCCGTATAAACCTGTAGCTGCAGGAACTCTGAACCCCAGGCCCAGAATGCTCAACTCTCGGTTCTGGGCTGGAGGTCCATTCTTGCCCCAGGCACACTGGCCACCCTGGACGTGCACGAGCTCACGCATGGCTGCACGGAAGGCGATGAACGGCAAGGAAGGGGCTCGAGACTTCTTAGAGACGCTGAGGCGAGCATGCACTCTTGCATGGAACCTGATCTCGGTGCGGGTCTTCTAGAGTTGGTCGGGACTACCGCTCAATACAGAACCCTTTGTCTGCACCATTGCCCCTGCAGTGACTTCATGCTCGACCTGCCTTCAGGATTTTCCTGAAAGCGTGCCAGAAATGAATTCCCCCGCCTGCATCCACTTGCGACAAGTGGCACAGCCGAGGTCATCATTGGTCTGAACAGTTTGGTGGTGCGAGCATGGGTGGGCGCCACTTCACGCTTATCCATCGTACTCGCCCTCCTCCTCGTCAAACTCACCTCCACGGTTAGGGCAGCTATCAACCCCTTGCTTCGCAACAAGCAATTGGCACAAGGATCCCCACGACGTGCTACGAACATCTCCGAAGATTGCGAAGTCGAGGTGCCCCACACTAAGGGGCAGCAAGTTCCACAACAACCCTGCAAAGCCGACACAGAAATCCACAGAGCTTGCAACGTTGTCTCTCTGGGCGCCCTCGGAACTCGGAACTCGTCCCGCCTTCCTCCTCGGCGGTGGCATCCTGCCGAGGCTTACAGGGACATGCGAAAGGAGGAGCGAGGAAAGTAGCATCAGCAAGATCACGACACAGGTGCCGCTGTCGAGTTTGTTTGGCACGCCTGGTACTGCTGATACTCCGACACCAGGTCGTTCATGTTGGACTCTGCCTCCGTGAACTCCATCTCGTCCATGCCTGCTGCAATGAGGACGGAGGGTGGGGGTTTTGCATCTTGTCGGCCGCGTGTTGTCTTGCTTCTGCTGGCTTGGCTCAGGGCTTAGTGTTGTTCTCGAAGTGAAAATGCCCAAACGAGCCGTAAGTTGGACCACAGACAGCTTCCAAGCAGGAGAGCTGGCACATGAGCGTAAGATAAACGATTACAAGGCTACGCACGGAAAGTGCCCCAGGAATTGGCATCTGTGGGTCACAAACGTGAGATGCGTTATCTGGCGCCGCTTAACAAGCTGTTGCTGGCACCGCACTCTGCTAATCCTTGTTCGAGCGAGCCTTCACCAGTGTACCAGTGCAAGAAGGCCTTGCGTCGGAACATGGCCGTGAAGTACTCGGCCACCCTGCCCGGCAAAGAGGCTTCTTAGAGCGATCGAACTAAGTCCTGTTCTGTCGAATGCGGATGTCCGGCTACCTCTTCGAAGCGGAAACACGGCGCAGCAGGTTCACTACTCCGAATCCCCTGACGGTTGCAAACCCGAAGGCACCTCTTGAACATCTCCTGGATGGCGGTCGAGTTTCCCGCAAAGGCGACTGCCATCTTCAGACCTGCAACTGTCGAAGTCGAAAGACAAGGCAGGGCACTTGTGTGCCTTGGAATGGCCAGTACATATTGGCCGACACCCAGAACACTGCAAGCTCGAAATAGGCAACAGTGCCATCTTTGAATTAGTCCGTACATCGTAGTCTGCCGATGCGACTGTTTGTTCTGGGAACCACGTCAAAACCTGTCACATCACGAGTAGAACGACTCCCCAAGACCCCCGCTCCTTCGACTGTTCGCCTACCGTGCCACGCCTACTTGTTTAGTCTCTGTTCGTTGTTGCTTGCCAGAGTGGCAGCTATACATTCGAGGAATCATGGCCCGTTTGCGAGTACCGGCCGCTATCAATAAAGATACATGACAATCATCACCATCATCATCATCAGCATCATCATCATCATCATCATCGCCATCATTGTCATCATCAACCAATGACCAACATCCCAGCACTTCAACATTCGAATCGCTGCCTAGTGGCCTTTTGGAGGGATATCGCACACAGACGCCTTGATGTTGTTGGGGATCCACTCCTCGGCGCATGAGTGGCGAATCTCGAGAGGATGAGCAAGATTTGCGTTTCCAAAAAGGATCCAGGTTTCCATTCGCGTTTTCGCTCAGCCTCAGCCCTATCCGGCTTCCATACCCCGACCGCCCCGCGCACAGACATGCCAAGATGGCCAAGACTCCACGAAGTAGGAAGAGTTCTTGTTCTGAACGTTGAGCATTTGCTCATCCACCTGCACACAGGTTTGCAGCCCACGGTGTCAAGAAACAGAACAAGTAAGCAATCGACGAAGCATGGGAGCTCACGTTTTGACTGCCTCCTTCGTGGACATGCGGCCACGGAAGAGCGCTGCCGCAGTGAGGTAGCGGCCGTGGCGGGGGTCCGCAGCGCACATCCTGTGGCATCCGATGGCTGGTGACCGGAGCTCAGCAGAGTGGTCCACCGGATTTGCCAAAGACATCTTTCACGCGGCGACCTACCGCTGGCCGAGGCGCATGTTTTTGGCGTCGAACATCTGCTGGGTCAGCTCAGGGACCTCAGGTTATTGTTCAGTCAACGGCGGCATCGAAGGTCGAATCTGCAAGCTGGGTCAGGGACGGTCAGGGCTCGGTACTGCTGCGACCCGCGGGAGGTCAGCGGGGCGAAGCCCGTCATGAAGAAGTGCAAGCCTGCGGACATGTTCTACTGTCCGAGGGCCAAAGCGGATGCCAACGACATCTAAAACGAACAACTATAGTTGCTTCGGATTTGCCAAGGAAGTGTTCGTTTGAAACGTTGAATGCAGGGGTGCCCAATCGCAATGATTTGCATTCCAGGCCACGTGGGAAAGGCACCAGGTTTACGGCGATCTTACGCAAGTCGCAGTTCAACCTCGGTAGGACGCGACATGTGCAAACATGCATGTGGTAGGCACAAAGCATCGTGGAACAACAGAAACAGTCGAGCCACTGTCCCGGGAAGCGCAGGCAGCAGGTCACACCGCTCATGGCTGCAGAGACCAGGTGGTTCAAGTCGCCGTATGTTGGTGTCGTCAGCTTCCTTAGCCACCCCTTTCAGAGGAGCAGGTTCAAGAACAGGACGAACGCCTCTGTTCCGGCGACGCCCGTTCCATTCCATTATTGGTACATTGCGTTTCATGGGAAGGAAGAGAAGGTGAGAATGAGGGCGAGGCAGGGCGGGAGGAAAGGGAAGGGACGGGAAGGGAAGGGTAGTGTGTGTCTGTTTTGTTTTGCTTGGGGTCAGAGCCAGGAGCAGTCCTCCTGACTCGCATTCAGGGCGCATCCCCGTCCACCATTTTGGTAGAGGGGCTCTGCTGTACGTGTGTCGTGCGGTCGACGACGCGAGAGGTTTGATGTGCCCCCGTGGGGCAGGTTTTTCAAGTAGTCTGGTGCCCCCGATTTGCAGCGTCGAGAAATACAACCATACCACTACCACACAAACGCACACATGAGCTCGGGTGCTCCATCTGTCGTGTAACCCCCTGACTGCCTGAGCCCTGCCTTCAACGAGCTGAAGCGTGACCCCCAAAGTCACTTGCGATCTTCCACTCGACCCTGAAACCTCTACGACTTTGCGCCCCCTCTGCAACCAATCGTACAAGCACTGTGTCTGTCTCTGTCTCTGTCTCCGTCTCCGTCTCCGTCTCCGTGTCCGTGTGTCCGAGTCTGTGTCTGTGTCTGTGTCTGCGTCTGTGTCTGTCTGTCTGCGTGCGAGTGTTTATGTGTGTACGAAAACCAACCCAAAAAGAGAATGCGTGAAAGAAACAAAAAGAACGAATGAATTCATGAAGAACGAATGAACGAACGAACGAACGAACGAACGAACGAACGGATGAATGGGTGACTATGAACTTATCAACGAATGAACGAACGAATGAATGAATGAAGGAAAGGATGACGGAATGCGTGAACCAATGAATGAGGGAATGCAGGAGCGCGTGGGAAAAAACGAGAACTGTGACCTCTCAGGCGAACGGTCATGGTTTCGTTCAGCTCCCCCCAACGAAAGTCGAGTGGCACTCTTCCCCCTTTGACAACATGGCTTGATCCGTCTCAACATCCCAAACCCCACTCACATTGCTTGTTGGTGTTTTCTGACATCTCCTGCAAAAATCCTTGTCCTACATTCCCTCGCCCTGTTGGCGGGCTGCTTGCAGTCCCTATGAACACTCATATAACATATATCTGTGTACATGCGCATTTGTGTGTATGTGAATTTATACATTTATGTATTTATATATTTATATGTTTGTATATTTATATATTTATGTGTTTATATATTTATATATTTATATATTTATGTATTTATGTATTTATGTATTTATGTATGTATGTATGTATGTATGTATGTATGTATGTATGTATGCATGTATGTATGAGGGTTTCGTGTGTATTGTTTGAGCAGGACAACTTGAACCCTCAAAGGACCAT